GTACATACAAAAAATGTAAACACGATACAAAGATACTGGAAATTCACAGTGATTATTGCACATGGGAAGTTGAGAATATACATTGGAATGTAACAATTCAGAAAGTATTGCACACACACCTAAAGATTGAGTATAAATATTGCCCATGAGATAGAAAATCATTGTTGTAGTTTTAAGAGCTACAACTTTAATGCCTGTTAAGTGTTATTAATCACAGTAGGAGAAGTCAAACTATTCTTGATTGTATTAGTTATGAGCTTTATCTAGCCTCTGCATAATTTTACATATTGTTTTACTCCCTCTTCCTACAGCAGATCACTTCCACATGGACCAGTCCTGAGAGCTCTGCTGCTGCTAGAGTTCCTCTGAGCCCGGAGTGTGACGTCATTCTCCCAGAATGCATGGTTTCTAGCGCGGCGCCCAGCAGTCCAGGCCCGGTCTCTAATAAATATATTTAAAACTTGCTCCAAAATGTCGAAAGCGAGGCGAAATGGAGGCTGGATGAAGAGCCGGACCGAGGCACGATCGGTAGGTAGCCCTCTGTCCGTGTGTGTTGAGCCGGGATGCAGTATGACCCCGCTCGGTGAAATGTAGAGGACTTAGCTCCCGAAAGACAAACTCCAATACAACTTTGTGAACCGCTCATCTTTTGTTTTTTAACCCGCATGCTGGCTCGAGGTCACCCTCAGTCATACTAATACCAGTCGAAGGGTTTGCTCGATGGAAAACCAGTGTAACAAAACAAAACAAGTAAACACTTAACCCAGTTTCATCTCCTGCCGAGTTTTGTGGACCCAGGCGAACTAGCTGTGAAGTTTAGCTCCGGTCTGGTACTAACCCAGTCCACCACTTTACACTTCGGGACTTCAGTCGAGCTCATGTTAGCTATGCTACAAGTTTCCCCCGCTTCTTTCCTTAATTTAATAATAAGAATTTTCCAAGCTGGTTTACTTTTAATGGAAAGTGTTAGCAGAATAAGTGTGAGGCGTAAAGCTTTAAGGCAGCTCCACAAGATGGCGCTAGCTGCTCCCTCACCCCCCTGTTCAGTCACAGTAGACATGGAGTCATTCCAGTAACCTTTTGTCTGCCTACTGTTGAACAACCAATGTGTGTCAACCTGGGTAAATTTAGTTAATCAACAATATAAGAAGAGACTCATGCACATTACTTTAGTAAACTGAGGGTACTGTCAACATCTGTCCATATAAACGTTCTTATTGTGAAGCATGGTCCTCTGCTGCTCAGCTCCTGGCACGTCTATATACTCAATGTACATGTACTTTGAGCTGGTATTAGCTTTGGTTGTATTTTGCAGTTTGATTAAATACGTTTATTAAAATGTTTGTTTTAAAGGTCCAGTGTGTAAGATTTAGGTGAAAGGGATTTATTGGCAGAAACTTAATGTAGAATAATTCTCATGATGTTGTCACTAGTTCTTTTCATCTAAATTGTATGAATTGTAGTTTTCTTTACCCCAGAAAAGGCCCATTATATTTAAATACTTTATATTTACATTGAGTCCAGACTGGACAAACTAAACACCTTTTGAGTTTTTATGACAACTGAAGGTTACCACAGGTTCATTTTCATGTTTGTAAGGAGAGGGTGAGGTGAGGGGTGTTCAGCTGCAACATTCAACTTCAACACTAAATGTCACAGAATTCTACACACTGTACCTTTAAAGTGTATCATTCATTTTAAAACACCAAAAAGGACCAGGTACATTAAATGTAGTTAAACTCTTGAATAAGTGAATTATTTTGTATTTTCAACAAATCTCAATCATAGTCCCCCAATAAACGCACTATACATTGCAGCCAAATTCAATTGAAGTAACTGGGGCCCATGTTTTCAAACAGAAAAAACAGAAAATGCCTCCAATACTGCTCCTGTGATGTCATCCAAGTGTCTGTAATCCCCGGCATTCAAAATATGACAAGAAACGGCGTCATTAACATTGTTGTTGCGTGTCTTTTTCCTTCTTTACTATCTGACAATAATCGTGGCACCAAAATTTGATATCATGACATCCCTACTCTTGAGTCACATTTTGTATGAGTGCGTTGCACAAATCAGAAACCAGGGCTGCATGGTATATTGAAAATCTATCATCATCGCAATATCAATGTGTTCAATATACCTATCGCAAAAGATGGAAAAAACTACATTAAATGGTGTTCCATGTGTCATGCATTCACGCTCTGCATGTCAATATATTTGGAAAATCAGATGGAGTCCTGCTGCCCCACATGATAAATTAAAGATATTCAGATCATTGACAGGTTCTTCGTCGTCAAAAATATCTTTATTGGAATGTACCGTTGCACAGTAGCTTTGCTTCATGTTACACCGGGGCAGCAGTTGTAACGCCTTGTGGTAGACATGCAACATTACAAAAGAAAACCAACACAACTCATCTTGGAGCTTTATCAGACATCCTCAATGTTTTAACCCAACTGTGTAAATTATAGGGATGCACCGATCCACATTTTTTCACTTCCGATCCGATCCCGATACCTGAATTTGGATATCTGCCGATACCGATACTATTCCGATACCAGAGCTCTGTTTGCTTTAATATTATTATCATTATTGTTGATTCTAAATGAGGCTATAATAAACTCCTCTCTACAGGCAAGTATATGTACGTATGCATGTATGTCCCAAAAGGCAACTTGAGGTAAGTATGAGGTCAGAAAACAGGAAAAATTCCATCCTGAAAACAAATATGCAACTGTTAGGGTTTCAAATTGTCAGTATTTATTATATTCTAAGACAGGGTTTAACTACTAGTGCAATATACACCAAAATGTACATTAAAAACAACAAATAATACCTATCATCTACTATGCAGCAACACAACAAAAAGTGTAAACATTCAAATGTCAAATATTTTAAATAAAATAAAAGTGTAAACATTCAAAATGACATTCAAAAGTCAAATATTTTAAATAAAGTGAGTGTTTGTAAGTGTAAACATCTTACACAAACACTATCAATAGAAAACAGTGTGCATCTGAACAGCACAATTCAAGTATAGTAGGAGGTTTGGCATTGAAAGTGACCTGGATTAACCTGAAACCCCTCGTTTTCCACCACCGATAACGGTTGGTCATCGATGAAGTTGAGCAACTTCTCAGTAATCCCTTTAGCTTTCACGTTGTCTGCTGGAAGTTTACCTTGCTTTTGGAATGACTCCAGAAGTGATTCCTGGCGGCTCTTTTCCTCTTTCTGCCCCCTAGCTAAAAATTCCTGGTGCTCTTTAATGTGGTGTTTTTTCAAATGTTTGATTTGGTTGGTGGTGTTGTACGTCGCGACGGAGGTTCCGCCTCTCGGAACAATAGCTTTACACACATTGCACGTTGCTGTCTTGCTTTGTGGCGTTTCGACAGTGAAATATTTCCACACAGCGGACATGTTGTGTGGAAAAGTTCGCTAGCCCCACTGCTGCTTAGTGCTAACCTGCGAGCTACCTGGCGGCAAACTGCGGAACGGACTTCCTGAATGGAGGCGTGTCTCATCTGTGTGTCTCATCTGTGTGTCTCATTGAGACGCGCCTCCGTTCAGGAAGTTCGTTCCGCAGTTTGCAGCCAGCTAGAGCAGCCGGCAGGAATCACTTGTGGAGTAAATTCAGCAGACAACGTTAAAGCACAGACATAATTCACGGATCGGAAATTTCCGCAGCTTGGATCGGAAATTTCCGCAGCTTGGATCGGAGATTTTCGATCCGTGAATTACGTTGGTATCGGAACCCGATACCGATACTGGATCGGATCGGCCCCATCCCTAGTAAATTAGTAATAACTGAGATAAAAGTGATGTTGAAACTTTTTGCCTTGAAAATACTTATTGTCCCTGTAAACTAATGTTAAATCAATTCTCAACTTTCTTATTGATAGGAAACCTACTGACATTAATCATAAAAGTCACATTCTTGGAAAGCAGAAGTCCATCCAAGCAGCAATAGGGGCAAAATGTTAGAACTAACACCTAGCTGCCTGGAACTAAAGTCTGAAACAAAGTCTGTTTTTTTCTTCAATTACGGAGATTCGACAACTGAGAAGGGCCCTTCCGCTACAAATGCTGTAACCACTCTGTGGCACTCGTCAGCTTTGTATTCGGTCAGCTTTCCCATGAATGCCAGCTAGAATGGTGTGTTGCTGCTGTCGCGGCTTGCTCTACCTAGCTCTACTGGAGGTGCTAGCGTGGTGCTACTAGTACTAGCTGAAGATGACACACGCAGGTTCGGAGACGCAAGGACATTAAATGCTTAACAGTCTTTCAGATTGACCCCGCGCTGCCTCAAATGCTTGGTGTGCAACCTGACTTGCAGCTAATTAGCTTCCCACATGCATTGTAGTTTGCCTTGTCGTCGTTGTCTTTTTTAAAGAGTAATGAGGCTCTCAGAGGTGAGCCATGCATGCTAGGTCGCATCTAAACAAATGGATAGGCCGTAGTCACTTAGACAGGTCCTGAAAGATAGGAACAGTGATAGTAGAACAGATATGTAGCCTTTGTTTGCAAAAATAAACATTTAACACATTTAGGAACCAATAAGCAGAACCAAAATTCGGTACGGATTTCTTCTACGAATAACCGGTACTTGGCATTTCAGATTCTGTTCTTACTTGGAACCAAATTTCAATTTTTTTATGGATATAAACAAACAAGTAAACAACAATTAATGGCAAATGCATTCACATTTTATTTGAATAAAGTGCAACCAACACTTTAGGTTGAATTAACAGGAAATTAACCTTTTCTGCTCTCATTTAAAATATTCAATACATTTTCAATAAAAATACTTTACTTGACCTTTACATATCCTACAAACAGCGAGCAACTTATTTAGAACATCTCCGTCTATGCAAAAGCCAAAGTGTTTCCACACACTGGACCGCAATGGTGGCTTGATAATTTCTCGCTCGCCGGCTTCTCCTCTGCCATCCGCCATCATGCTAGGTTTTGATATTTGCGCTGCTGCTGGCGCGTGGCGATGACGTCACAGACGGGCAGACTGAATCGAGTAACGTTTAACCCCTTTATCATTAAACGTGCTAAAAAAACACATCCATATAAAGTCTGATGTGCTTAAATCCAATGCGTTATTTCCTAGTATCGATGCAATCGATTGATATCCTTTTAAAACGATGTTAGAGCGATAAATGCTGTCCGGAAGGCCAACTTGCCGAGCACGTTGGCCTTCCAATCACCGACAGACAAACATATTGTCTGTCGGTGATTGTTTCAGCAACTTTGTAATTTTATTTTGCTTATATGATAGTCTCCCTCCTTGAGAACCCTAGGAACTGGCACTTATTAGACACTGCTCAAAAAAATTGAGGGAACACATCACATGATCTTGATGAAGGGATTATTTAAGTTAAAATTCTTTACTGATGTACATTATTGAATTTGTTTGGAACAAAATGACGTAACAGTCAGTATCATCAACCCATTGAGGGCTTGAGTCAAAACCTCACCAAAAATCAAAGCAAAATCTTGAAATCACAGTGCCCACACACTCTGGCCACATGAGGCCAGGCATTGTCCTTCGCCAGGAGGAACCCAGGGCCCACTGCACAAGAGAAAGGTCTTAAATCGCTCTGAGGATAACAGCAGTCAGTGTATTATTGGCTATGACATGGGGGTCTGTGCGACCCTCCAAGGATATGCCTCCCCAGACCATCACTGACATTGATATTGCAGGCAGCATAACATTAACCACAGTGCCTCCAGACTCTTTCACATCTCAGAGTGAACCTGCGCTCATCTAAGGCTGCGCGATTAATTGAATTTAGATTATTTTCATGGCTACCAACGATTATCAAAACAAAGTCATCGATATTAAATGATAATTATACCGCGTTTATCTTGTAATGAGTCTATCATAGGCAGCATTTCTGTAGCACGTCTGCAGCAGAGCTGCAATATTAGGTAATGACTGTATTTCCTCCAATAAAAGTCAGGCTTTATACCAGACTAAATGCCAGGAAACTTAAGTAGTCCCCCATTGCAAAATAATTGCAGCCACCGCTTCGGGATCAGGCCAGACGCAAATTATAAGGCCGGTATCCTTGTAGCCTTCCATGCTGTATTACCATCGCTCAGCTGCGCTCACTATACATGTTGACAATAAACACCAACACTAATCAGAACTTATTATGACCTGAACAGTGCTTGAAGTTTACTTTGTTTGATTCTCTCTAGAGTTTGAGACACACACACTTTAACACATTGAATAAAAGGTCACCTGCCACACACAACACGAGATGAGACGTGACACGCACATCCGGGTTAAAGTTCATGATCAGACATCATGATGTAAATTCATATGATTGTCTTTGTGTGAAGATTAACGGAAACAAACACACCTGTAAACAGGAGAAAAATTCTTCTGGCAGATTATGGCGCAACGCTGTGTTTTGACGTCATTGTTGCAGAAAACCCCCCATTTATCTATGACCACAAATATGAGTTCAGCAGAGTGAGCACAGACTCCACTAGAGGACCTTAGGCCCTCATGCCACCTTCACAGATTCCGTTTCGGACAGTTTGGCCAGAAACAAGCACACCAGTAGCCTGCTGGAGGTCATTTTGTTGGGCTCTGGCAGAGCTCCTACTGTTCCTCCTTTTACAGAGGAGCAGATACTGGTCCTGCTACTGGGATGATGCCCATTTACGGCCCTGTTCAGCTCTCTTTGTAACAGCCAGTCTCATCATGCAGACTGTGCTGAGAGACACGGCAAACCTTGCAACTGCATGTATCGATGTGCTATCCTGGAGGAGCTGGACTACCTGTTCAACCTGATTGGGCTGCCGATACCACCTCATGCTACCAGTAGTGACAAGGACACTAGCAAAACATTAAACTAGAGAAGAATCAGTCAGGAAGGATAAAGAGAGAGCAGCTGTCTGTGGCCACCACATATAAAACCATTCTCTTTTTAGGGTTGTCTTGATTTTGCTATTCCATCACACCTGTGTTCACTTTCATTTGCACCGAAGCAGGAAAAATTGATTCACAATCACTTGTGCTTCCCAAATGGACATCCCTGAAGTTTACCTGACACTGTTATACTGTGACAAAGTGTTGTCTTAATGTTTTTGAGCAGTGTATATTATATTGCATTCTCACTCGCTTGCAGGAGATGATTTTGCAGCCATTGAAATACAAAAAATAAGATTCACAGAAAACCAATTATATTGCCCATGTTATATGTACTTGTAGAGGTAAAGGCATTAAATACACTTTTAATGCTTCTATAATACCCAATAGGTTTTCATCTGCAAAAAGTGACCCTGTTTTCTGGTTTGCAGGTCTGCAGAGATGTTGCGCGACCTCTGTGATTCAGCTGCTGTGTTCAAGGCTGCTGAATACTAAAACAGACTGGGCCAACACAACAGCTCTACTCAGGAAACAACAATCCAGTCAGAGCTACCAAAGCTCCTCATCACCGCAGCCCTTTTGGGGTTGCTATGGCAGCTGCTGTCACAGAAACCAAGTGCTGGACACAGGCTTTCCTCAGCAGGGCAGGACAGACCACTAGTCATTGCCGCAAGAAACCATCAAACAGTCAACAAACAGCACTTAGCATTAACTCTAACACTCCAAGTTAACAAAGCAACCAGAGGTTGGCAGGCTGATGGTCAGCTGTGTGGAGAATCCTCATGAGTCTTGTCTGTGTCCGTTCAGGCTCATGGCAAGAGTCCCTGTGCAGCAGCAGAGCCAGTACTGTTCCTAGACCATGTTCCACCAGCAGGACCATCTGAAGAGCCATCTGCAGGAAAGCCACCTAGCCAGCAGGCAGCTCTTTCACTGCCAGGAGTGTGGGAAGCAGTACAACACGCAGCTGGGTTATAGACGCCACCTGGTGGCAGCCCACAGTGCTGCAACAGGCCTTCCCTGTCCAGAGGGGGCACCGTCCCTCCCCGAGCACCTGGGCGGCCATACAGACAGGCCTCCATCCTCAGAGAGTAACACTAATGCTGCTGTGCCAGTAAGAGAGAGGAAGTACTCATGTGAGCGATGTGACCGTCGGTTTTATACTCGTAAAGATGTACGACGTCATGCTGTGGTGCACACTGGGCGCCGTGATTTCCTCTGCCCACGTTGTGAACAGCGCTTTGGCCGCAGAGACCACCTGACCCGCCACTTGAAGAAGAGCCATGCACAGGAGTCAGGGTTGATGCCATCATGTACCCCAAGTACTCCTGTGGCTACACCCACCCCTGCCACCCAGTGTCCATTGAAGGAGCCCAGCCCTGTTACCTCTGAGATGGGCTCCATCTCCAAGGAGCCCATGGAGACTTTCCCCAGGGACATGTACAACTCCTATTCTATGACCAATCCTGTCCCCGGGATGGGCCACCCTCATGGCCTCATGCAGGGTTCCTTATCCTCAAGCATGGGTGTGGGACGCCCCATCCCCCCCCAGTCTTCACACTCCCACCTCCATCACCTGCAGCCCCCTGCAGCTCCACAGCAGCAGCCCTACAGCAACATGGCCAGGTACCAGCATGGATCTACCTCATATCCTCGTGCCGACGTGGACAGTTTCCTGCTGGACCTGCAGAGTGCCCCACCACCACACTTGAGTGCAGTCAACTCCTCTACCTCTATTTCTGCCTCACCCCAGAGGGAGGTGCTGGGTGAAGGGGTGGCTTCTGGTGGCGACCCCCACCTGCTGTGCCGGAGTCCTGCTGTGTCTTCAGCCGAGTTGTCCTGTACCACCAACATGGACCTCGGGCCCCTGCTGGGTTTCTTGCCTTTCAGCCTGCCGCCCTACAACCCTCACATGGGGATGGGAGGTTTAGTGATGAGCTATCCACCTGCCACCACAACCACTTCCTCTCCATCCTCTTCTACTGGGCTGTCCTCACAGGCCCCAGGGCCTTTCTCCTTCTTCCAGGCTCCCCAGGCTCACGTACCCCAGGGCCCTGGAGCCCACAACCACAGCCAACTACCTCAGGCATACAGTAGTCCTACTATGAGCACTTCAAGCTCCCTACCTCACTACTACCAGGCCTTTCAGCAGTAAGCAGCTCTGTCCCCACAAATGTTGCCTTTGTTGTGCTTATGGATTATTCATGAAAAGGGTAAAACATGAGATCAGCATATTTTTTTGTTAAACAAATGTGTAACTTTCATCTGTCAGTGCTTATGATGCTTATATTTGTAGTTTTTTTTGTTGAACACAACAAATCACCTCGTCAGTATTACCTCATTATTTAAAAGGAAGCTTGAACGTTTGAAGAAATGTGATGGTCTCACTACAACCAAAACGGAGAACCTCTCTTGGTCAGACCTACGGTATTACCAACCATCGGCACTTCACACACTTGTTACAGGTGCTGCACAGTGCTGAATCATTCAGTTTTAGATTATCATAAAAATATTAAATATTTTACCCAGTTAATGTTAAGAAAATGTCCCATCTTATTGAAGCTAACTTTAGATTTCAAAGTGTTTTAGATTGGGTATAGATAGCCTTATGTGGAGACAAAAAATTGTGATAGAAGTTCTCATTTAAAGGATATTCCGGAGCAATGTTTGCATATGATTATAAGATATGCAAAAACAACTTCCCAGCGAATAATTACATCATTACACCAATCATCTAAGTGCATCAGCAGATCAACCATTATTTCAAGTGGCATAAGTTTAATATTTAATTTAGAATGAGGCCATGTGTCTGTGAATGCAGTCACTACGGTGGCAGTTATCAGTAACTGTAAGGCAGGAGTGTGCTTCGTCTCACATTGTGATATTCTATATTTAAGAAATGTAACAGAGCAGCTCTTACAGCTGTATTACACATTTGAAGCCCTGAGGGGTGTTATAAGATGGAGTTATCTGAGGTTAGGCCTGTCACGATAAACCTTGTTGGATGATATATTGTCTCAGAAATCTTTGCAGTAATTGATATTATTGTCATTATTTTGAGACCCTTTATACCACTGCTGAATGATAATATAATTGCATAATAATGCAAGTACACCCTTTCAAAGAGAAGTGAACTTTTACTTAAGAAACTTCAGTCTGACATCTGAATTTAGAATTAAAGACCCTATATTAAAATACCCTTAATAAATAAAACAGATTAAAAAAAACCAAAATAATAAATAAAATGGTCAAACAAAAATTGCTCTTGAATTAACATTAAACATTTGGCACAGGGTATATGTTACCATCTTGCTAAACTGGATGGGAGGATTATGATATAGATCCTTTGTATTGTTTTGATTAGTATTCTAGCGTTTCCTCTAGGAATTTGTGCATGCATGTTTGTCTCCTTGCTCTGTTGCTCACACAAACTGACAGTCACATTTGTTTAGATATTAATCAGTGATTATCGTGACAGGCCTATCTGAGGTCACAGCAGCATAGTAACAAAAACTCTAATGTGACATAGATACCCTATCATTTTTGCTATATGATGTAGCATCACTAGATTGAAATGCACTTAGCCTTCATTTTCAACAGTGCAAATTATAGGTCAAAGCTGTCACTTAAGACAGAGAGCTGCTGCTCCACTGCTGTCTAGATTTGTTTTAAAACCTTTTAAAGTTCTGACTGTTTTAGACTGAGCATTTGACACCATTATAGGTACCATTCATGCAGACGTTTTACCTAGAGTAAATGCTCCTGAACCCAATACACTGTATTAACTGACTAATTTTGAATAGCCCTGGTTTTGAGACTTTGACAGACTTCAGCAGGAAACCAGTGGGTTAACCAGTTTGAAATCTCTGCCAGCTTTGTAATTGCTGTGGCTTAAATCCTCATCTATTTTGTTCCTCCTGTGATGCCCTCTGCTTCTCTAGTTCCTCTCTGCTCATGTGGGGCCTCAGAGAAATAATGTAGCTGAAAAGATCCTTAAACGTCAGACCGCTCTAAATATGTTGAGTTATTGACACACTGTGCCAACTATGTCACTGGTCTCAGGGTTGCTGCCTTTCCCTTTTTAATTAATAAATAATTTTCCTACGAATTTCATCTCATACAGCCCACACTCATACAATATGTTATATGTTTAAATTACTATTGTTCTTGGCAGTAGGCATTAGTAGAAACTTTGTAGGGTGAGAAAAAAGTGAGTCAAGAATGTCAAGCTAGTGCAAAGTAATAAAAAATGATGTATCCATGTTCCAGACCAAAGACACTAAGAAGATACATGTAAACATCAGAGACGAGTATTAAAGGAACACACAAGCATCTGCCATGCATATTTGATCTCGTGCAACCTGGGAATAAGTAATTATGGCTTCAGTTAGACATCTCTTGAGCTAAAGTAGAAAAATATTTTCATCTTTACAGCAGATTTAATATATGTCAGAATAATCACCTGTGTAGCAGAAGCCACAGCTCTAATACTGCTGGATCTCTTGATCCATGTGTAAGTGGACATTTTGTCCTCACAAATTGAAATGGCTGTTTGGCGGTTAAGAGTTGGTTTTAAGGTTCAGGTTATAATCAGTTTTAGGTTAGGGTTAGGGCATATATAATGTCAAAACTGTCCTCACAAAGATAGAGGTACATGTGTATGAGTGTTTGTGTCTGCATCTGTTTGACACACTTTTACCAGTTCCTATTGCATGCGGTACAGATGCAAAAGTCAAAGCAAACCATTTCTCAAATATAATATAAGAGCTCAGCCCTGTATCATTATAAGAAAGGTAAAAGCGCTATATGTGTATCAGTGTGTCTGAGCCAGTGATCATCCCTATCCCACATTCCCACAGTGGAAGGAGGCAACCCTAGTGACAGGACATAAGCTGGGGTAATTGGAAGGGCATTGTGTCAATGTTCTCCCTGTTTTGTTCTTTTCAAAGTGTACCACTCAATCTAAATAGGTTGTAATTTTGACTGGCGTGGTTTGAATTTCTGACTTTATTACAGAGAGCTGCATATATTCTACAAAGGTCTTCCAGAGCACTTGTTTTCTTAGCTATTCTGATGTCACCAAACACCCAAGATTGGTTTATTGGATTGTTCTGATGTACTAAGGACTGAACGATTATCTTCCTGGCCTCATCTTTGCTGTTATGGGTTAGGAAAGCCAGAGAAACATCAGTTAGGGAGCAGCTGGTCTCCTTTTAACAGAGTCCCACTGTAACATGGTAACATTGGAAACAGCAGCTTTCCAATGGATGCTCCACCCATAAAATATGGTGTAGTGGAGATGTAGGAGCCCCCCAGCCGGACATTACGAGTGATTGATGTGATAGCCGAAAGAAGATATTTTGGGAGAGAAATAATGGGATGATGCTCTATATCCTCTGCCTTAATTCCACAAACTGTATATTGAAGGACCTCTACAATTGTAACAAGCCTCATTGTTGCACCAATGTCTTAAAATGCTACTGTTGTGCCTCTAAAAGAGTGTCTAATCTCTTGATTGGGTTTAAGCACTTACAACATTTTTAAAAGAATTCATTTGATCTGTACCTCAAACATGCAGAACTGTTGGTTTCTGTTATTTGTATTTGCTTGTAGTTATTTTTGGCTTTTGTGCCATTAGATCGAAACTATATAGTTAGATTTTATGAATCTAAACTCTTAATCTAGTGGCAGACATTGACATTATAATTCAGTCAAACTTTCTACCTCTACCTTTTCATATATCTTTCTACAAAATCATTAGAAATAGTTTTAACCTGTAACAGTTAGGCAGTGTTTACCACTGGTGAAGATGAAGGGGGATATGTTCAAAAATCAACTTTGAAGGACCGGACACACTTAAATCTGAGTGTGTTCCAGAGTCAAACATAGTTCTCTGTACTTGCCTTTAATGCTATTTCTACTTATGTACTACCTCAGAGAAGAGACAGGTGACTGTCCATCTAACTGCAGAGAAAATGACTGTATAGTAATATTTGTCAAAACAAGCACATGTACTTGATAGCTCAATAGTTTTTACTGAGGGTAGCTCACATCAGAATGTTTAGCTCAACTAGTGCCACATTGTGTCACATCACATTATATTTTTTGTGTTATTAAGCTGTGTCTCTGCCTCTTCTGTCTGGAATGTTTACCATGTTAAAGAATAGGGGCCTCAGTCTAACGGCATTCCAAAGCTGCATGTTGGGATGTACACACAACAATTTGGACTTGTGGATACCAACTCATAGCACTTCACCTGTAAGCAGTATCCTCTTATCACTTAGTGATACATTTTCTCAAAAACAATGTGGAAAACTGTCTGTTTACTGCTTCTCCAGTGTTTGCTGCATAAGTGCTTGAAACCCTTTGTTTTGTTTACTTATCAATCAGACAAAGGGGGCAGTTTGAACACATCAGGGTGGGCTCAGGAAATGATTTGGGGACATTTGTACTTATTGTCCTGCATTTTATAGACTGAACAGTTAATGAAGCACTTGCTAAAACAACCTTCAACCTCCCTCTCACCTGGTGGGGACCTTAGCAGGTAATCACAAATGCTGCATCCTCTGGCTGTCAGTGGCACAGACAAGATCAGCTTGGATAGCTCCCCTTTTGTAGTAGATCACACAGGACATATATTTGACTTGGACCTTTAGTCATTAAAATGTTACATTATTGGATTGGTTCATTTGTGCTGTTGCTGTGTAGCTGATGACATGTTTGAAGATGGGAGAGTGTGTTTGTACAGTTACACCAAGCACAAGGTCAAGCATTCCAGCTGAAAGTGGAGAGAACATAGCGCAGGGTTTCATTTCACTAAACCATCATTCACTTCCATCATGTTGCCTGCTTTTAGGTTGGCTCTGAAAATCACCAGAATGCAGGTTACTTTAATTTTAACTTTGACAAGTTTTACTTTAGGTGTTTGTATTATCACTTAATAGACTAGATTACAGCGAAAAGGAG